GCTCCTCCACCTCCGCCACCACCACCCCCGCCACCACCACCACCACCTCCCCCGGCTCCTCCTCCTTATCCTCATAACGATGTTCTAAGAGTTGTAAGTTTAGATCTTACTCCCGGTGGACGTCACACTGTTGATCTCACGCTTTCAAGACCACATCATTTACACGGGTCTGGTCCCCGGGTAATAACAAGTCCTCAACCTACAGGTTCCGGCAATCCACATATCGTACCTGACGCGGTGGATGGACGGATTTTGTCTTCTCCTCCACCACCACCTTCTCTGTCAGGATATAATCCAAGTTATCCTGTAAGCCCTGCTCCGTATCATCCACCAAGACCAGGATATCATCATTATTCCGGTTATTATTAGACAGCTTCAGTACCTTCTCCCTACATTTTAAAACATTCACGGAGTAACTTTTTTAACATAATTTTTACTGTAAAAATATTTGAATCGTGATTAATCAAAGAGTATGTCATTTGGCAATATTCTGATATAATGTGAAACTTTAAAATCATCAATTTTTAATTCTATCTTTTTCTATTTTTTTTCCTCTATATAGAGTTGCATAAATTCAAGACCGTGAGCTAGTCAAAGCGAAATTTTATTACATGATCAACAAACAATGAAGACCAATCATTGAATATTGAAATTTTGTTTGATCATTCTTGCATACATAAGATAATCGAGAGTCAACGTTAGACGCAGTGAAAATATATAGAATTTTACCTTTGAAATTAAAGTACAACACTGAAACAGAGATGCGCACAAATATAATAAAATCAGTTATGTTAGATCATCTAGTTTTCGAGTGATTTAAAGCACACGGTCGGATTAGTCAACCGGTCGAACGCGATTATCGTAAAAATATATAGTAAAAAGTAATGTGTATCTATTATTTTTGGAGTGAACTTTATTTTTTTAAACTATTTATGGACAAAATTATTAGAAATTTGTTCAATTAGAAGTACAATGCATGATTAGAAAAATATTCATTTCTAAATTATATCATTTTCAGATCGCATATTTATATTACACACCTTCTTTTATATGACCGTATAAAATTTTAGGGTAGTAATCATATTTCTCGTTAATTGGTAGATTTTTTCGAAACAGCTTCAAATGAAATGTTACTTAACTTTTAGCATATATTCTTCTACTTCTTATTTGTTGACAAGAAAATACTTATAAGACGCAACAATAGTTGCCACAAATTTTTGCAACAGTATTTTTCGGACGATTAGTCAACGACATCAACGTCGTCTCTCTTGCCGTCGTTGTTGTTTTCAAATTTAGATTAAGAATTCGCAGTCAGACTGTCGTATGCAAAGATAAAGAAATAATTGGATAAATGAATGAACAAAGAGCTGCGATATTAATGCACGTAAAATTTTTACCTCTCGAGAAATATTGCGAATTGTGATTTTAGATCAGTCGTGACAATTCGCAATTCGCGAAATAAATCATTCGAGTTGCCTAATGATAGTTATAAGTGTATTTATATGGTGATAATGACACTTAAACGTTCATTTTCATTCTAGTCATATTACATTCGTATTAAAGTAATATTAGTTATATTATTATATTCTGGGCATTGAAAATGTCGATACCGTAAAAATTGCAACGATTATTTAATTTGCATAACATAGTTTTTCGTCTTTGAAGTATTTTTAAAGTAAATATAAGTATTAATTAAGATTGGTAACGATAACAGCCGAACTTATTTACAAAGTATATAACGAGATACGTGTAGTTTATAGCTTTTTCAGATCTTCTTTATTAATCATTTGCTAATACCAAAGAATAAGAAAACGTGCAACCTTCGTGCCAAATCGATAAAACATTTATCACTGTATGTACAGTTCTAATATAAACGCACCGATTATTTTGTATTAAATAAAATACTCGTAGCATTAATGATAGATAGATATATAAATACACAGTTTTATGTATGTATGATGTATGCGCGCGCGCGCGCGTGTGTGTATGTGTGTATATATATTTATATATATATATATATGCAAGTATGTACATAATTGGATCGTGTGTATGTTGCATGCCCTTTCCAGGCAGTGCAACAGCAATTTTTTTATTTCTAAAGTAAATTTCAATCTGTTGTTTATTTTATTAACGGCATTGATATTTCAGTCTTTCTTTTATATTGTACATTGCGTTTTTGCAATTTAGGGCTTCCTATTCTCTTTTAATTAGTATATTTCGTACTATTCTTTTTTTTTTTTATTTCAAATAAGGAACAGCAAAAGTAGTCAAGGAATAAACAATTTCTCTTCTTATTCATGTATTCATGTAAAACTAGCTACAATTACACAAAACTTAAAACAACAATGTTCACGAGTACAAATATGACATGAAATACATTTGTATTGGATTTCTTAATACAGCAAGCGAAATTAATAGAATAAAACATAAAAATAACAAGAACACAATAAGTGTCATACTTTCTTTTTATACCTATTATATCATAATAAAAATTATTGTATAGAACAGAGAAAAGATTGTTATTTATTTGTTACAACCGATCATTTAATCTCCGTTTAAATTGACGCGTAATTTCGCGCTTTCCGAATGCAGCGACACCAATTTGTCCCTACTCGACATAATATATATATATATACATATATATACATATATGTTAGTTGAAATCTATCGACTAGTTGGTCATTAGTACAGTTCCGTATCCTCTGTAAAGGGAGGTTTTCGAGAAAGAAGAAAATGGTTAACTCTGTTATACGGTCCTCTTTACTACGTGGTACCACGGTAATAACAGTTTTTTCTTTTCTTTTCTTTTTATTATTGAAAAATATCGTTTGTTATTCATTAATGTAAAAGATCAATTACCTCTGTAGCTGTTATATAAACGACCTGATAATGTTCGGTTTGTCAATTAATGTCGTTCAGTTTGTTATTTAATGTCAATTAATATTAAATAATTATAAATTTTTATAGTTTAACTTCAATTTTTCTGTTTTTTTGTTTTTCATAGCTTTCCAACTATCAATTTTACTATATTTTCTTTTAATTCTTAATACATCTTAAAAGTAGTTTACCCTTTTCAAATTTCGGAATTTTCTATGTAAAAAATTAAAAACAGATAAAGATAAATATGTATCAAGGCTAAAAAGAGGTTTTATTATGCATTAGGTTAGACATTATGCAGTTGCAGCAACTGCACCTGTTAGTGGTACTGTAGTACCAGAAATTAAAGTTTTGAACAATAAAGTTACTGTTGCTGCTTACGATAGTCAATCTCCAATTGCACAAGTGTCCATTGTTTTCAGGTATTTGAAATTTTAATAAGTTTTCCATATATATTGATTATAATATTTTTTTTATATATAAGCATTTCATTTATAGAGCTGGATCAAGGAATGAAACGTATGACACACAAGGTTTAACACATTATTTGAGAACAGCTACTGGATTAAGTACATCTTCTGCGTCTGCTTTTGTCATAACAAGAAACATTCAACAGCTTGGTGGAAATTTAATAACCACTATTGATCGTGAAAGTATAGCATACACATTGCAGATCACTAAAAACAATTTGTAAATTTTCTTTAATGCTATTTTGGTAGATGTATTGGACTAAAATTTTTACTATAAATTATTTTCTTTTGTATTAATAGGGTAGATACTCTTAAGTATTTAGAATATGTTGCTACCCAGCAACTCTTTAAACCCTGGGAAATAAGTGATCAGGCACCAAAAATAAAATATGAAATATCTTCTTTGCCTGATACAGTTTCAGTACTTGAACTTTTACATAAAGCAACCTATCGTAATAGTGGACTTGGAAATTCTCTTTTTTGTCCAGAACATCAAATAGGTAAAATTGGTTCAGAAAATGTAAGTGTGATTTTTAAAAATAACTCTAGCAAATAATGATGTGTTGTTTCTTATTCAAATTTATTTTACATTTTATTTGTAGCTACAACATTTTGTCAATACTTGGTGTACTGCACCTAAATGTGCTGTTGTTGGTACTGGTGTTTCACTAGCAGATCTTACTGCTCTAGGATCAAATCTAAATCTTAAGTCAACAGACAAGGCAAATGAAGCGTCAAAATATTGTGGTGGAGAAATTCGTAAAGAAACTGCTGCAGATTTAGTTAATATAGCAATAGCTGTAGAAGGTACAAATTTGAAAAATGAGAAAGATGCTTTGGCATGTGCAATACTTCAAAGAGCAACTGGTTCTGGACCCAGAGTTAAATGGGGATCTAGTGGAAGTTCACTGTATAAACAACTTTTAAGCGTTGCAAGCTCAGAACCATTTGGTTCTACAACTTTTAATGCTAGCTACTCTGATTCAGGATTATTTGGGGTTGTTCTGTGTTCAACAGCCGATATAGCAGGATCTGTAAATAATATAGAATTTTGTAATTATAATACATGTTGTTTCCATATTTCTTTGTAATATCAATTTTCAATTTATTTTAGTTAGCACAAGCAACTTCTAAATGGTTAAAGTCCTTACAAGTATCTGATAAAGATATTACACGTGGTAAAAATATAATGAAAACTGACATTTTGGATGCAGCAGATAATTCACTTTGTCTATTGGAAAGTATGCAGCAACAAGTTCTGTTTAAAGGTCAAATTTCTACACCAATATCATTAGCTAATGATATTGATAAAGTTTCGTCATCTGATGTTAAAACTGTAAGTATATTGATAGTGTAACTATAGTTTTATACTAATTATATTATTTTATTCTAAATATATAATTTTTCAGATTGCTAGTAAACTTAGCAAAGGAAACATGTCCATAGCTGCCATTGGTAACTTGAAAAATGTACCATATCTTTCTGAATTATAGTAGATGCAGTACTTTTTCATCCACATTGACAAGTAATAAACTTCATACCAACTCTCTTCAAAATTGTGAAGATTGAGTTAAAGGTATAAGAAAGTTACCAACCTGAATGGGCATAAAATATAAAATTAAATTATGTGCATTTCATTGCAATAAACGTAATCCTGTAGATATGAATGAAAATAAAAATTGTTTATATCTAGTTTTACTTTTTCTATATTTTGATGCTGCGTTATAGAGGCACCTATACTACGAATGCGTTAGTATACGTGTCTCTTACATGTATTTATTAAAAAAATATTTTACAGTTTTATTTACATATTAATAATGTTAAAAAAAAAAAAAAAAAAATGAGAAAAATGTTTCCATGTATACACGGGAATTATAGGTAGTAGAAACTATTATATTTTAATAGAGTTTTATTTCTTCTATTGTATAAAACTTGTTGCGATTTTTTTGTAACAGTTTCGATGATTTGCCACTAATTGTTCTTTTTAAAATGGGTCTCATATTTTCCATATCTTTGAATACTTGTAACTGTAAAAAACAAAATTATTAATAAGTGAAGTAAACATATGGAAAAATTATTAAAGCAATTTTATGTAATTTTGTGAGAACTAACATGATCGTCTAAAACATAGTTAAGTTTATTAAGCAGCGTGGATACTTCTGGATCTCGCGATAATACATAATGTTGATAATGAGATTCTAACAGAAGACTAGACCATTCATACAGTTGTTTGTCGGTCGGTTGCTGCACGATATCATAACAAAAATCTTGGGCGTCTAATTTTTGTATTAAATATTGCAATAGTCGAAGTATTTCGTCAAAATTTAAACTACTTTTAAGGTACGACGATAAAGAAATGTTAGAATAAGTAAGACTAAAAATTTTATCAAGAAAATTATTTCTTGAATATATATTTTTGGTGGTTGGTAAATTATCAGTTGTACCATTTTGTAACGGTAAGAACGTTTCATCAGGATTCCTTAATGAGAAGATTAAAAGATCGATCAATAATCTTTCTGGTAAATCTTTAAAATTATTTAAACACCATATGATTGCTTCGACATCTTTGGATTCTATTAATTGCGGAATTAATATCTCTTGTATCGCAGCATCGCTCAATCCTTCATTTATGTAAGAGGATATTTGTTTTGAAAGTTTTATTGGAAGCTTTTGCGTTATTTGTTTAACAAAAGTCGTTCCGTTCTTTTCCCAATGTGCTATTGTTGACTCTTGTACTACAACAATATCATTGTCTTCTACATTCTCGTCATCGTTTCTAAAACGTAAGGAGGATCCAAGCAAAGTTGCTATTTTCTGAGGTGCAAGATGGTAAGGTGCAATTGCTAAGTGTCTATTAGCAGCAAGCAATAATTTATCTTCAATTTTCCATAGTTTTGCATCTTTTGTATATAATTTCAGTTTCTGTGCATCTTGTATTAATTTGAATTGTACATTATAAATCATTAAAACAGATCCTTCTTCAGAAATATCAGCTCCATAAACTGCTATAGTTGCCTCATTTAAAGATGTCATGACTACTGGATGTTTAGTATTAATATTACTGATGATGCCAATTAATGTACTTAAACCATTTTCACTATTGGTTTCCATTAAAGGATGACTATATAATCTACCATGTGACCCTGGATAAAAGATAGAAGGAAAGAATATAAGACACAAATTACTCTTAAAAAAGAAAAATTGTAAAATGACATTCACTTACACAATGTTAAAAGACATGCTTTATTTTTAGCTTGTAATACTGTATGACCAACTAACTCCTCTGATCTTCGCTTTAATTCCATTCTCTTAATATAATCTATTTCTTCGGAATAGGTCTCATTGTTAAGTCTAACTACAACACACTTATAAGTTCCATCAATTTCAGTTAACATACATAAATTTATTTTGTCGCCAGTACGAATCAAATGACAATCTAAAATTTTTTCGTTAGCATTTAATATCCCTACTTTGGACCAGGATTTCCTGTTTTGTATAGCTCTTTCTAATGAGGCAGTACATCCATCTTTGCGTACCAATACAGGAGAACAGTCTTTAAGTGTAAGAATGGTGTGCAAAGCGGATTGAAATTTATAGGCTTTGATATTATTTAAATCTGTTTCTTCGGCAGACCAAAGACGTATTTTTTTTTCGTTAAATATTGCGGCATACTGACGTGTTGTTTCATCGTAAATAACTTGTGTTGTTAACCGATCTTTACTTGTCCAACTACTTAGCTGCTTTAAATCTTGTAACTGTAAATTAAATTATATTGTCTATAAATGTTAGAAACACTGTTCGTTGTATTGTAAATGAATATGAATACAGCATTAGTTTACCTTATATCGGATTACAATATTTCTTCCTAACGTTACAATTGCACATCCGCTTTCTGAATCTCTTTCAACGCCCAATAAATTTTGTTGATCAATAAGAGGACATAGCGTATAATATGAATAAAGTTTTGCCATTTCGAAATTGTAAGAATAGTTTTTTCCAATCACGTGTTCCTTTTGTATCAAAGTGAAATGATATAGATTTCACCGATAATTAGTATATGCTTTTGAAGCTTCAACATCTTCATTAATAACAGGGAATATACTTTATGGAACGATCTCAATTCCTAATCTTATATTAAAATTCATACAATGAATCAATATTGAATGATAAAACACTGAATTCAATTTCTACTAAGAAGAATAAATTATAAGATATCAATAGGTTAGTTTGTCCTGCGTATGAAATGAAATGCAGCGCCCTCCTTATTGAAACTCATGTCATGTACAGTTTTTAATTCAAAAAATAAAGATTCAATTTAAATTAGAATTTAATAGCTTAACTTTAACTTTTATTTAATTAAAAGGTTCCTAACCTTTGCGAAGAATATGCATTTTGCCAATTTTGAACATTGATAAATCTTATTTCGTACTAATGAAGTTTAATTTGCGAGGTAAATTGACAATTATCATTAATATTAATATGAGAACCCATAAGTATAACAGATTAAAATATCGTTATATAAAGAATAAATATTATAAAGCGATCCTTTTTCTCCTTTAGAAATTAATTACAAATTAGATGCTTTGTGTCATAGATATATTATTGTGTCCACCATTCGTTTAGAGAAAGAAGGTCGGGAAGGGATAAAGCTATATACGTTGAGGGTAACTTGAACAATACTTGAGTCTGTTCAGATCATTCAGAGAGCGTTTTAAGAAAACGGTAAACGTTTATACTTTTATCTCGTTTAGTGCAAAATATTTCTGTCTTAGCAATAATTCATTTCTACTGATAAATAAAATACCGTATCTCGCAAACTTTCGCTTTTGCCATCAAATATGCAATCGCTGTTGATCACTGTTCTCTCTTTGTTCCTGTTTATAGGTAAGTTAATCGGAGCACATCCTATTTTACAGATCATTGAGATACTTCTTTATAATTATTTTAATGATCAATTTTATCGTAATGAGATCGACTGTTCTATCGAGATCTTTCTTAAATTTTGTTTGACATCCTTCTACCTTTGACTGGTACGCGTTCCATGGGCGACTGCATAACATCACGAAGCCCATCGCATCTCACTGTCGATTCGATTGGAATACCAATCGAAAGGACAGCAAAGGTTATAAACAGAGAAAGATGGGTGCGGAAACGAGAGTGCGGTAGAACAGAACATTTAACACTCGTTCTTTGCTATTTGCTTCTCACACGATTGTAATTTTGGTCCAATCATTATTTTTCATCCCCCCCTCCTTGCTTTTAGGTTTCGATTATACAGTTTGTCTAGATGCAGAAAAAGACGATGATCATTGCGAAATGATGATAAAAAAAATTGATTCTGATGACAAAGCAACTATAACGGATAATACACCATCTAGATTACATTCAACGTGGATATCGCAAGAGTAAATGTCTTTACTTTTCAATCTTACATTTCTCGCGAATATTTTTAGGATTATCGAATGATCATTATTTCTTCAGATGCGAAATACGAGCTGGTCCGAAGTATATTATAAGGAAGTACAGTTTTTTTAAAAACAACTCGTTTCTTTTATTGCAATATTATTATGACGAAGAGTCGTGCAGTATCGCAACGTATACGGTTGTAGCGCGTGGTTCTGTCAAAATTTTATCCCCGTCTGTCATAATCCCTGGTGCTACGGAAACTAATGTACAACTGGACTCGGTTCACTTGATACCACTTAATAGACAGGTAGATCGATCACCGTTTCATTCTCCTAACGTACAAAATCGTTGTATTTCATTAAATTATTTCGTTACCAGGTCGCTCATAAATTTGGGCGGATAATGAATGCAAGTTGTGGCGGTATCGAAACGAAATGGCGTCCATACCTAGCGCAACTCATCTACGAACGATCTATAGACTTCTCATCGAACATGAGCTTATATATGCACGATTTGAACTCCAATTCTCTTCAAAGTCGGTTAGTGCGACTGAGGAAACCACGTACAATGGATTGTCTGGAATCGTACGAAATCGACTTTACGGAACTAAAGTTATTCCGAGTTGAAATAAAACGATCTAATTTTGTCACAGAGATGTCGAGGAGTAACGTGGTTAATGCAGATAAAACAGTCGAAAGAATCGAATTGTTACTCGGTGGTCTTGCTAAAAATCTATATTCGCAAAGAACGCAACCGAGGCCAAGTCGTTTACAATCCACATCATTATTACGCGCCGATACGGTAAGAACAATTTCGATTAGTTTCGGTTATGGAAAGATTCGAATTTAATGGTAACTTTTTTGATGTTACAGGCTGTGAACTGTCCGATTTGTGGAAGCGTTTATCGCGCCACCGAATATAGTCCACCCTTGTTTCATCAGGTACCGTCACTTCCGGCAGTAATCGACGGTTTTTGGTTTAGCGTTAGGTGTGAAAGCGTTGACGGAGGATTTTGGTCCAGAAGATTCTTCCGAATTTATTCGGACAATAGCAAGTGGTTTGCTCGATGGACTTATTATGCTGATTCTACGTGCGCCAATTCCTTGTATACGATTAACACAGCTGGAACTTACGTACAACGAGCCGTTAGACGAGTACGCAATGTTGAAAATTCATACGCAAAGATGTTCGATAACGACATTCGACTGAATAGAATGCAAAAAAGTTTAGAATTGAACGTTTACCGACACTTTTTCCAAGATACCGAAGAATCGATCCTATCGCGATCAAATCGAAGGCAAAAACTGAAGATGAACCAACAGGAATTCACTAGTCGAATTAATCGTTTTGAGATGCAGAAAAGTGGTACATTACCTACTGGAACGACAGAGTTGGAACTACGAATTCTTGAAAGCCTGTTAATTCCTGTTGGCAAAATAGTGCCGACCAGTTGCAAAGGGATTACGAAAGGAATAAGAGAAATTCGACGTATAAGAAGAAACGAAGCGAATTTGTGGTCGAACAATTGCATACTTCGAACCATCGAGGCTCCTACTACTTTGAAATTCAAAGCAAGAATTGGGCTTGACTGGAAAGGGGATTACACTTTGCTTTTGGGTTCATGGAAAGACGATCTTTGGGAAGCCCCTCTTCGTCGATGTCCCGAGACAACTTTGCAAAATCATTTTCGCAAGTCCTGGCACGGATACTTGCCATTTTTTCGACGGAGCAATCGATACGATCGATTCAGTCGATATAGACGGCATTGGTTCTCTTCTTCGTTTGCTATATGCCTTTCGTCGAGTTCCTCGCTTATACATTCTACGATTTTACTTCTCTTGTATTGGTTACATCTCGTTCGTTGATGAAACTTATCTCGATAGCGAGATAATATTTAAATTATTTTTCTCTAAAGACACTTAAGCGTAGAGATAGAAGATACAACAGGGTGTATTTTACAATAGCGAAGAACATTGTTGATTGTTACATTTAGTGCAGCGTTAGTGTTACGTATTTGTAATTTATATATACGAATTATAGATTAAAATAAAATATAGTTAACTTTATTTGAAAATTATGGTAAAACAAGTTAGTAAACTGTAAAATACATTTGTGTAGATAATGTGTTAAAATAATAAGCGTCCTTGTCTATTAAGTGACGATTTAGACGACTTCCTTGTACATTCTATGTTCCTGTTACTTTCTTGAGCTTTCGGTCCAAAATCATAATGGTGCTGATCGAATGTCGCTTGAACTTCTATCCTTGTCAATATTATTGAATGAATTAGCATGGTATCACAGGTTGCAATTGGATATATTGAGTTTATTTTTTGGACAATAGAATCTAACAAGGAGAGTGCAAGTCCTTCGGGTCACCGATTTAGTTAAAACATTGCAGCTTTGTAGATTTCGTCATAGTTTAAGAATGTGTATCATTATAGCCGTAACAACCCAATAATTTTTGAGGTATTTATAATTAAAGTTTTATTATATATTTAGTTATAGATTTATTTTCAATACCTTTTAAGTGGAGTTGTTGCCTAACAGCGACATACAAAAATTCCTATACTGGAGGTTCGTGGTTCGATTCCTGTCCATAGTTTGGTAGTTTTTTAAATCTATTTTTTATTTTGTATTAATTTTTCGTCTATGAAAACATTGTAAATAAACAATTGTAAATAAAATTTCTTAATAAAAAGATTTACTTTTTACGTTATCCTATGTTAGTATATATTTATTACAAAATAATAAGAATATTATGTAAGAAAAACACTTTTCCATAGTAATCTTATTTGCTACAGGAAATACAAAACCTATCGCTCATGTAAGTATTAATTATTAAATTAAACATTGTATAAGAATGTTGCCCATAATTCCAATCTTGCTGTGCAGCTATAAATGAT